ACATTATCCCTCCTTGTGGTGACAACTCTCGGGGGAATCAAGTCCCTAAGAAGTGTGTCTTCATCATTTAGCTCCTCTAGATTGGAGCTGGAGCTCTCGCCAACATCACCCTTAGTTGGTTTAGGGCCAACTTCCCTGGTTTCCTCACACCGTGACATCGTGCTAAAAAAAACAAATAAAACGATTCAATAACGATAACACTAAGGTCTAACCGTGAACAACTCAACATAAAAGGATGTTATACTAACACTTAGCATGCAAGATTAGACAATGAACACATTAATATAAACATATAAGCACGTAAGCATGCAAACAAATAAACAATTAAGCATGCTTTTGCACATAGCAAAACACTTTACCAATTAATCACATAAACTATGCGAATGACTTCCCGTGCAACCCCTATGTAGGTCTCTACCCGTCGTTCTAATGGTTTTCGAACCAAGGCTCTGATACCAAATTTGCAACGACCCTAAACTAAATACCGAAAATAATAAAAATTTTAAAAAAAAATTTCAGCATGACCTCCGCTAAAAATGGTCCTATAGCAACCTGTTCAAATGAAAAAAAAACGAAGGCCTTTCAAGACCTATCCAACTTGCCGCAAACACACCATACAAAAGAAATATAATGTATTCCCTAATACCACAACATCAACAACCTTCCCTAATTAGCCCATCCTCGTCATCTCCTTCAACTTAAGCATTTACATGGTTTCAGTTTACAATAAAAATAAATCAAGTATCTTAGTTATGTTACACAGCCACGATTTGCAAAAATAAATACTTTTTTACATAGTTTGAGACAATACAAAAAAATGGGCTAAGATACAAAAGGTAACAAAATACAACTCCTAATCTTCTTCAAGCTTACTGGGGATTGTTATCCGCCACTTCTTTTCCGAACCCTGAAAAATGTTAAATAATAGGGGTGAGCAAAATTGCTCAGTAGGTAGTGTCTAAAGCACACCTCTTGAACCCCCGTGAATCCACACCATGAATAGGAATAAAGAAATTGGGATCATACCATGACAAAAAAATAATATAATCACCATGCCACATCATTAATTCGATACTACAAATGAATATGCCATGAAATGATATGCCATGCCTTGAAATGCCACTCCCCATTTTCTAAAACTATTTCCATTATCATTTTCAAACCGTTAGTGAACCCGTCCCATGGCAACTCCATGGCGTCATTTGGGGTCCAGGTAACTCAACCACACTAGAACGATTTTCCTAGTCCTTTTTAGGCCTTACTAACGCCACGGTCCCTAGGCAACTCCTAGGCGGCCGGGTTTCTCACAAAAATCATTTTCAAAATTCTTTCCCAAAATTTATTTCCTTTCTTTCAAATCAATTTTTCCCATTCCTTCCCAATGATATGCATGAATGTTTCATGTTTCCCAATGCCATGTCAAATGAAGGATTTTTTTACAAATCACAAATCAACAAAAGATTTTCATATATCACAAATCAACACACTTCCATATAGCAATTTATAGCAAATTAATCATAATAGGCATGAAAATTTGATACTTAGACATGCTTTACAATATAAAAAAAATTCTAAAATTTTCTTTCATACTTTCTAATCACCAATCTAGCACTAAAGGCACAATAAGCTTGAATTAATCAACAATTTACATGCTTCATTATCATATATATCAAGCAAGACATAGTCACAACTTTTGCACTATATATATATATATATAATAAAACAAAAAAAAAAAAATTTCTACAATTTAAGCATGCTAATCATCAATTAAGTAGAGTAATTCACAAAAAGGCTCAAGAACATGTGAATTAGAATCCCTACCTCCAAAATTATGAAAACCCCCAATTCCACCTCAAACCCTAGGATTTTCGAATTTCCTATGGTGCATCAACTAAGGAATTGCTCCTATCAACTTGTAGGCCTCGCTGTAAGCTTCAATTTGCCGCAAACGGCACTTCAAAATACCAAGAATTGAGGAATTAATCAAGAGTGGAAGCTTGTGGGAAAAAGAAAAGAAAAAAGGAAAATAGAGAAGCAGAGAGGCTGCGAGAGAGAAGAGATAACAGAGAAAAAAGGAAAAAAAAAAAAAAAAAACGTGATCTTATGACCACTTTAAAACATTAGTGGGTCCCACCCATTTTTATTTTATTTTCTCTTTTTCTTTTGCCTTTAAATTCACACACCACACACACACAATTTCCTTATCCCTTAATTTCCTTTCTTTTCTTTTACCAAAATGAGGCTAAGGCTGTTGCTCATCTCCTTCTCCCTGGGCTTTAACAATAAAATTAGAAATATATATGGATATATATATATATATATATATATATAGAGAGAGAGAGAGAGAGAGAGAAAGAAATGATAGGTCTTCCGACCTTAATTACCGACTTATCTTCCGAATCTAACGTGGCCCATCCATGTTAGATTCCTAAAAAGAAATCGCAAAACAATCACTGGAACTCTAAAAAGAAATCGCAAAAAAATCGCTGGCTTCCTAAAAAGAAATCGCAAAAAAATCGCTGGCTTCTTTTCTTCTTTATTTTTTTCGCGCGCTAAAGGTAAAAACTGGAAAGCTTAAAAGTTGCGGTTCCCTCTGTTTTTTCGATTTCGCTATCTCCTTTATTCTCGTTCCTGAACTCCCTCTTTCTATGATTCTGGATATCGCAAAATCCAAAGGAAAACCCTTCTGTTGCTTTGTAAAATCGAAGGGAAGATAAGTCGAAACATATCTCTTTCTTTGATTGAAGGTACGAATTAAATCATTTTTCAAAATATTTTTAAGCCTCTGTTTTTTGTATTCATTTTGGGATTTTTCTTCATGTTAAATAAAACTAAGCGTGGCTTTGTTCTTAAACTCATCTTCTATTGCCCAGTGGCTTTGTTCTTGAACTCATCTTCTATTGCCCAATCTATTAGCCGTAAATTCTGAAGCAAGTCATTCATTCTCCTCGTTTGATTGCTTCTTAAGTAGACATTAAAACACTTTCTTAAATTGTAGAACAAGGGAAAAAAAAAAAAAAAGGTGATCTTATGACCACTTTAAAACATTAGTGGGTCCCACCCATTTTTATTTTATTTTCTCTTTTTCTTTTGCCTTTAAATTCACACCCCACACACACACACACACACATATATATATAAAACACAGACATTACAATAACCTTATCCCTCAATTTCCTTTCTTTTCTTTTTCTTTCATTTCTTTTACCAAAATGAGGCTAAGGCTGCTGCTAATCTCCCTCTCCCTGGGCTTTAACAATAAAATTAGAAATATATATGGAGATATATATATATATTTCTAACAAGAAACTCGCACACACACATGCTCCTACGATCACTTTAACTCTTACTTTTTCTTTTGAAAAGTTAGGAAATACCATCGAAATAAATACATTAGTGTCAAACTCAAAATTAGTAAAACTAAAATAGAATATGTGAAAGGTGTTATAGAGATTTTGTCTCACATTGAAACCAAATATAAAAAGATTGGGTATATATCAACGGCTATACAATATTATCTAACAATTTAACCTTTTAGGTCAAAACGCAAATGCTCGACCTGTTACAATTGACCGCCTGAGCGTGCCCACTCACAAGTGTCTTCTATGGGCAAGATGTAGAAGAATGAGACTAACCATCTTGTAATGACCATTTTGATTTTATGTCATTCATTTCATAAAAATGAAGAAAATGAAATTGATAGAATGTCTATGGAGACTTCTGCCTTTTGATAGAATTTTATAAATAAAAAAAAGTCATATTAAAAGAGGATAGTAAATTTTAAAAATTTTTCTAATCTTTTTTACTAGGTAGTAAAGAAACTTTTAATCCCTGTTATAAACTAATAGAACTTGCATACGGCTGTTGCAATTCTCATTTATAAACGACCCTTAGGCTTTCTTGGTCATTGTTGATCAGATGAATATTTCTATTTTCCCATCGTTTGCATTTATTTGTACTTCATTTAAAGCAATTAAAAACCATTCAGTGTATTTGAAGGGGGAGAATATAAGTCCAAAGTGATGGTATGCTATGTTATTCCACCCTCAAAAGTGAAGAGCTCAAAGATCTGCAGACTTTACCAGGACCATGTTAAGAAATCCAAAGCAAAATAATTATCAAAATCCAGGTGAGACTACAGTTTTCATTTTGAGCGACATGTAACAATCTTGTGTCACTACTAGAGAGACTGCCATACATCTCTATAAATAATTCATCATAACTACTTGCCCTTTCTTTTAACATGTAATTTTTTTTATTTACCCGGGAAAAAACATGTAATTATTTCGGTTTAATTGCTTACTTATCTATGATTTGCAGGATTAAAGGCATTATTGTGCAATGTAGAAGAAGAAAAAACACATCATATCATATCGAGGAATAATCTACTTCCAATGTTCTATAGGCATGTCACTACATTTCCTTTCGATTTCATAAATTTTTATTTTTACTTGAGAGTTGAGATTAACACAAGGTACTTGGCTATTGTTTCACATGTTTTATATTCAATTTCTACGAACACATGTCTTGAATTTACAGTACCTAAATAAACAGGCGGATCCAGAAGTGGGTTTGTGTGGGCTCAAGCCCACCTCGAAATTTTTTTTTTTTTTTGTTATACATAAAATTAGCCCAGCCCAAAATATATATATATATATATATATAATTATTACCGGTATTAGTCCATTCCATTAACAATTCCTTAATTTGTCGTTACCTAAATATCATTGTATTTATCAAAATGAAATAGTTTTGACCTGGAAGAAGTACCCTCCTTGATAAAACTAATAATAAAAAATGAGAAAAAAAATAATAAATATATATAGTTTTTAACTTTAATAATAAATGAATAAATAATAAAATCCGAACCCAAAGTTAGGTGTGGACCTGTAGTTTGACTACTTCCATCTTGATTGACCATGCGGACTCTCAACAAATTCAAGCAAAATACCAAATTACCCCTGCAGTGAGATTCTAATTCCCGTGTCACCGTAGCCTTTACTAAATTTGCAATCACTTACCGCGCGCAGTGGGCTTCTTGTCTGATTTCGTTCTAGGGTTTCTGCTCGAGTCTCTCTCTCTCTACACATACGTGTGTGTGTATATATATAATCGTTGTGTCGAGAATCGTTTTGGATTTCAGGTTGAAGTTGGGAATGGACGGGGAGGAGTTGACTGAGCAGGAAACTGCATTGTATGATCGACAAATTAGGGTTTGGGGCGCTGATGCTCAACGGAGGTACTTGTACATGCGTAATATTCTTATTTTGAAATTTTTTGCTTTATTTTATGGACTTATTTCAATTCAAAACTCAATTAATATAAATTTTAGCTTAATCAGACTAAGAGTTCAAGTTACATGTATTTTCCCTTACTTTGAATTTGAATTGCTTTGTTTAGATTGAGTAAAGCTCATATATTAGTAAGTGGACTCAAAGGGACTGTCGTTGAGGTAAAGTTTTAAACTTGTCATTCATATATACACATACATGTATATTTTGTGGTGTTGACGTTGATTACTGACAAACATGTTCATAAAACTATGTTTTGTTGATTTTTTTTTTTTGGTTTCGATAAGTCTGTTTTGTTAATTTTTCAAGCTTTTATTTTTAAAAATAAAAATATGGCTGTGTATGCAAGTGGTGGTTCCTGGATTTGGTAAATGTGGGTCATGGTAATTTGCAATTTTGTATCAGTGCAGTTTTGCAAGAACATCGTTTTAGCAGGAGTAGGTAGTTTGACGCTAATTGATGACCGTCCAGTGACCGAAGATGCAATATCAGCGAATTTCTTAATTTTTCCTGACGAAAGTATATTTGCTGGGAAATCACTTGCTGAGCTCTGTTGTGATTCTTTGAAAGATTTCAATCCTATGGTTCGTGTTTCTGTTGAAAAGGGTAAGCTCCTCTTCTACCTTATTCCATAATATTTTTAGTTGATCCAGTAACTACTTTTAGTCCTTAGTTCCTTTAAGTGGATGTCATGTGGAACATGCCCTCAGAAGGTGTCTTCTGCTTGATTTACTTGTTTGACGTTGATGACACAGATATTAGAAATTTAGAATTTTGTTTTGTTGCTCTACTTTGTATGCAACTTAACTTGATGAAATGGCGTTTTTGGGTGAGTAATGTGATCAACATCTAAATGTTGAATCAAAAGAAAAAATTTGTACAAGGCAGTACAGGATGATACCATTGAAGACCCTTTGCTTCTTGCCAGACAATTGAAAGTAGAATATGACACCCAAACTTGTAACATGCATCTCAACACGCAGTGCAATATTAGTCATGCATTTGAATCTTTTCTCTTGTTATAGTTGCTCTTTGTTCCTCAATTATTTTCTGTTTTTATGTTTCAAAAGTAGTGTCATTGTTAGTGATGCTAAGTCAGGAAATTTAATAATTTCTAAATTTTATTTTTCAGGGGATTTATCAAGCTTTGGTGGGGATTTCTATAAAAAATTTGATGTCGTAGTTGTCAGTTGTTGCTCCCTTGATAAAAAAGTAATGTACTAACCCTTACTTTTAGTAGATAGTCATATCTTGTAGAATTCTTATATTTATGAAGTTTCACTCCCTCTTAGTGTGTATTACTATCATCAACTATTCACATTTTAATGGATCCCTTATTTATATTGACATTCTTTTAATTTTTCTTTCTCTTTCATGTTTCTTCAGAAATTGGTGAATGAGAAATGCCGCAAGTTGTCAAAGCGTATTGCATTTTATACAGTAGACTGTAGAGACTCTTGTGGTGAAATATTTGTTGATTTGCAGAACTATACTTATTCAAAGGTATTAATCCAACTTTTTTACTTTATTCCTCATAAGTAATAACCTAACTTTTATATATTTACTATCAACTGTTGTGATCAGATTTTTACCTTCTGGTATGAATCCCAATAGCTCAAACAAAAACATAAACATCTATAGGTTTTTATGCTTTGATTCCTTTTAGTGATTACTATACAGCTAATTTTCTATATTAGCAAAATCTTGCTTTGCTTGTGATATAATTCTTGTTATGTATAATTTATTCTGTCATTCACTGGAGTCATTTAATGGAAGTGGTTTGGGGAGACTGTTAATTATAGACTTAAAGAGGTCTAATATACCCTGCCAATTTTTATCTGATAATAGTAAGAGACGGTAGTTGCTGGCATCATTGAGCTCTACTTTCACAGCTTTTCAACTCAAAGCTTGTTTCTCTGTCTCTTGGGTTGTCATAAGCATTGGAATCAATTTTACCCCTTAGAAACTTTTGCACCAAATACTTGGTTCTCCTGGTTAATTTCACTGTCTTACTAGCTCATCTGATAGTTTCTGCTATGTTTTTTGTTAGAAACCTACTGTATGACGTCTACACATCATAAATGTTTCAATCATTTAAACGATTTTTCTGTGTGGGTTAATTTTTCCTCCTTTTCTTTTTCTTGGCAGAAAAAACTTGATCAAGCGATCGAATGCCAGCAAAAGTATACCAGTTTTGAGGTATGACTTTTTCAAAATTTGTTCAAATGATGATTGAGTTCTCCTAATTTATGATGTCCATAGACAGAGCTTGTTTAATTAGTTCTAACCATGCAATAAACTTTATCGGTGGAATTGTCACCTGCTGATGCAACCCCATTTCCCCATTGGGTACATTAGCCCTTTGCATGGTGCAATGATAAAAGTTTGTTCTGTCAAGTGCAAGCGGTATTGACTTCATGGGAATAATGTTGGAGGTCAAAGGTTGTATTCACCCGGACCATTCCTCTTAGCATCCCGTATTAGTGGAACCAAGCTGCGCAATGACCTTTTTTTTTTTTATTTTTTATTTTTTATTTGATCTTTTCAAAACCTATCATTAATTTTAAAATTTTCTTTTTTCTTAAAAAACTAAAGCAGGTGATTGATTATCGAGTTCTGATGAAGATTCTTAATTGGGAACTCCATTTGTTGTTTTATGATATTTCATGTTGTGTATGTATGTACATATATTTTATTTTTGCAGGAAGCAATTGCAATTCCTTGGAGATCTCTTCCTAGGAGAATGTCAAAGCTATACTTTGCTATGAGAGGTATAAACATTTAGTAGGTTATTCTTTTATCTTTCTATATTTCAATTTTCTTATGTTTGTGGTGGCGGCTGGGTTTTGAGGAAGCAAAGTTCAATAGATTAAATTTAGATCGATAACAGAAAACAGTAGGCAAAGATTTCCAGAGTACAACCATGGCTTCAAAATTCAATGAACCAAACATGTGAAAAACTAAATTGATCTGCATTTGCAGATTCCCGTCAAGCCACATATGGTATTAGTTTGAGTGCAAAGTTCTATATTTTATATTATTTTTTCATCTTGCCAAAAATTCATTGAACAAGATGTTGGTACACCATAATAAAATATCCAAAATAGGTTTTAGATGTCCTATGAAGTATTAAGGGTAATGTAATGAATCAAGACACAGAATGCCCAAAATGTCAATCAAAAAATTATGCATGTAATCCTTTCTTGCAGTTGTTGAGGAATTGTAATTGTTTCTGCCACCTTCCTCCCTGGTTTTTGTGCTTGATGTTTGTGATTGTTAATTTCCTAGAAAAATTCTTAACTTCTTTATTAACTTGTGCAGTCATCGAAAGGTTTGAAAAGGTTGAGGGACGTAATCCTGGAGAAACTTCAATTACAGACCTTCCTAAGGTGCTGACATTGAGGAAGGAACTTTGTGAGGCACATGTATGTTTCCTAGAATTTGTTGATAGATTATATAATACTATGTGCATCCTCTTATCCGGCCTACTGTATGTCCTTGCAGTCCTTGAATGAATCTCAGATTCCTGATTCTCTCCTCGAGAGATTGATAGTGGGTACAAGAGAATTCCCTCCAGTTTGTGCAATTGTTGGAGGAATTCTTGGACAGGTATTCCGAAGCCACTATCTCTGTTTCTCACCTAATGTTTATATGTTTCTTGTTATTGATACGTCTAAAACTTCAATCACGTAGGAGGTTATTAAAGCAATATCAGGCAAAGGAGATCCCATAAAAAATTTCTTTTTCTTTGATGCCATGGATGGGAAGGGCGTGATTGAGGACATATCAAATTAACACCAGAGGGTAAGCCATTATCGTTGGGGAGGTTTTGAATCACCTGAGGATAGAAACTTAGGAATACAGCTCTAGGGTGTCCTTTTGACTTGTGACCGTCTGTCCTATGGAAAATTTTTAAACTCATTGTAGGTTTCATGGGGAGGCAGAACTTTATTTTTTGGTGGATTTTGCTGCAGATTATTAGGACTACTGTATTGCTAATTAATCTTAACGTTATACTTGCCGTCTCGGATGAGATGTTTACGTTTTTTTATATGTAGTGTTGACCATCATCATGATCATGAAGGGATGTTCAGGGATTCTTCTGACCCTGACCCTTTGGTTGTACCAGTTAAGAGTATTATGAGATGGAAAATGGATAGTCTATTTGTCTTGGATATGTGTGGTCTGTGGTGTTACCATTACTGATTGACTATTGTCTTGTTAATACTGACTGATTGAATGCTTAAGCTCAAGTATACCTTTCTCTGTGGAATGCTTTATGTAAGGAAACTACGGCACTTCAGTACGCAACTATGTACATTCACCCTGACCTGTTTCTGTGTAATGTCTATGGAAGGAGATCACAGTTTGGCGGAAAAAAAATAGGTTTGTAATAATATATATATTTGAACTTTTTGAGGATGGTGTATGTTGGAAAAATTAGCGTCAAATGGAAAGTTTATACCGTTTGATCCGATCATGTTTCTTCAAATGGTTACGTCTTTGGATCACCCCGTAGATCAAGTCTTGTGACGCGTTACAGTGCATGTATGGTTCAGCGTGAGTCTCGCGTGTACGACTACATTTTATTGAAAAGGAAGAAACACAATCATTCACTGGTAAAAAAGAACCTTTATTTTTGCAATTCCTAGGACCCGAAGAATGGAGCCAAGGCCAGAATAGAATTGATGACCGTAGTGACACTTTCCTGTAGAGGGACATATTATGGCCTAAATAATGCATGACGATTTCATCGTTAAATAACCTTTAAACAGTTTTAATTGATTGTTTCAAACTCTCTAATGCTGCTTTGTAAAAGAGCGAGAACTCAAGTTCTCATAGAAGCAGTTTCTTGCTAAGGTAAAAAAAAAAAAAAAAAAAAAGGAAACCTTAATTCAAATATATCTAGTCCAGGTACCACGAGAGGGCTCTGATCGAACACTTGTGTGCAATCAGTGGTTGGATCAAGAGGTTAACCTCAAACAAGCTCGGTAAAAGTTAAAAACATCAGCTTATCCGTACAACCAAAAATCAAAATTCAAAAAAAGAGTTGATGATGAGAATGTGGGTAATTCAAATGGATCCTGCTGTAATCTCATCCAATACAGCATATTTAAATCAAATTAGCCCACAAAACCACGAACATTCATTCAAACACTTTCATAAAGAGAGGAGGCACTGATGGAACGAGAAATGTGAGGTACCCCACCATGAAAAAAGTTGGAGCAAAAGAGAGCCTAGACAGTCTGCACCAACAATTCAAGAACCTTCAAAAATAGTGTGGGTTCAAACCCACGTAACTCTTGGAGTAGTGCTCCAAATCTCTCTCCAAAAGACCAAATCAATCATGTCTTTTCTACATCAGAGGTCTCCTTCAGAAGCAGTGCAAGAGATAGTTAGAGAGCGGAGGGCAGCCATCGAGAGCGGTAAACTGAAGGGAAGAAGACGGCTTTTCGAGGCACGTGAAGAGATGGGTTTTGATGGTAGAGAAGAGATGTGTATTGGAAGTGAAGCTAGGTCAGTGTCTGGATCTTCTTATGGTTCTCATAATGTGAATGAGAATTTGGGAAGCAAGGAAGAGATGCTTCCCGGTGGTAATTGCCATTATTGTTCCAACTCGGGATCTTCTCCATGCGATGATAAAATAAAGAGACAAGTGGTACCGGAGGGATCAGACCACAAGGTGGAGGAGTTAAGAAATGTGGAAGAGAAGAAATTTGATGGGTTGAGGGGCAAGAGTGGAAAGTGGAATATGCCTCTCATGGGTTGCTTTGCTATAGGTTTAGTGGCATTTACATTAGGCATTATCTCATTGAGGTGCAATGAAGGATATGGAGACGAGGAGGTAATTCTAGTCCCAACATGAACCCAACCTCTCTCTCACACTCACTCACAGTCACACAACACACACGTTTCCTTGTCAATTGATTTTTAATGTAGTTTTTTTCTCAGGTTTATCTGTTGGTTAATTGAAATTTATATAATTCCCCAAAAAAAATAAAAATTTGAAGTTTATATTTCAATTTTCAGTATAGCAAAAGTCATGTCTGATTACAATCAAAAAAACAAAGAGTTACCACTGATGATGGGGTGTTCTTTGAGTGGAGGTGATGTTAATTTTTCCTAACCAAAATACTTGAAAGCATAAAAGATCATTACTCGCAGTTATTCTCCTTAATTCAGAGTACTATGTAGATTTTTTTTTTCTCCTCGTCCAGGTAAAAGGTAAGGTAAGGTTGTACAGACAAAAATGTGTCCCCTCATAATCTCATGTTATGTGATAGTCAGTATATGGATGAAATAAAAGCAAAGAATGTTCATAAACATGATTGTAAATCAAGTAAAAATTAAGGTGCATATGCTGCATTACCACAATTGAGGCCAAAAAAAGGCCACCAACCTTCTGGAAATAGGGATCCATGGGGCCTAACTTTTCCTTGACCTACTTGGAGAGAGTTTTTTTTTTTTGGCTATAGAAAAAAAGGGAATGATTTCTTTTTTGTTACAGTAATAAGTCTTAAATTAGGTCTAGTGAAACATTGTTAGGACTTGGGGGCCTATCCTGTCGGTGCCATCAATTTTTTCTTCCTCATTCACAATACAACGGATTCAAGACTAGTGTCAAAGTCCCAATAAAATAGATTTCTACTTTTAGTTATACCAATCCCAAAATTTCACTGTCATGACCATTTTCTGATACGTGAATTTTATTATTCTAACTAAAATCCTCTCCGGAATAGTTTCTACATTTCTTTCTACGAAAATACTAAACATTACAAATTACTGTATCACGAAAATAACTTAAATTACATGACAGATTATATGGCAAATTTGTAACAACTTTATCTTTTTATAACAAAATAATTGTTTAGAGACATTTTAGGGTTAAGTCTTTGTCTTTGATAAGAACCCTACTTTTCTCAGCAATTTTTTTTTTTTTTTTTTTTTTTTTTTTTTTTTTTTGTGTATAAATAATTAGATAAATACATAATTCACCTAAAACTTTTTAAAATTATATTTTGAGTCCTCTTTCTATTGAATAAGAACCCTAATTTCCTTAACAATCTACATGTATAAATAATTTGATAAATAGATAATCAACTTCATATTTATCATAATTATAAAGTTCAGAGTGCAGAAGAGAATACATATAGATATTATATATATATATATATATATATATAACAAAAGTAGAAAAAATAAAATAAATATATATACATATAATCGGAATCATCCATGTGTAATACCTGTGTGTGTTATATATATATAATCGGAATTATCTGCTCATCTTTGAATTTGTATACTTTCTTAATTTAAATATAACTTAAATATATTAATACTTAATAAAAAAATATATAATATCTATTAAAATTGAGAACAATTTTTTTAAAAATTTTATTTGAGACGTGTAACATTGCTCTTCTTTCTAGCCATTTCATAAGCAGTGGTACACGTCTTTTAAATCCAACATTAAGTTGACATTCCAAAGTTAAATGGGCAGTGGTCCAAGTTTTGAATGCTAAAGCTAATGTTTTAAACCCAAACATTAAGTCAAACATTTCTTTCTAGCCCTTGTTTTTGTGAGTGATTCAACGTTATCACTCTCTTTTTAAAATGAAAAATAATACAAATGTCAAACAAAAAATGATACATCTTTCTAATTCAGAATTTGGAGGATTCCCCAATGTTGTATGAGTAAGAGTGCGGATAATATCCCACGATAGTAATGTGGTATATCCAAACTTTGAGTTACATATTCCCCTATTAGACATCTTCAAATCCGAATAACGTATCATTATTGCTCATGCCAAAGTTGCTGGAGAGGTATTTGCATTCCTTCAAAGCTGAAACTCGTGTGAATTGTCCCACTCCATTGCTCCCAAGTGGAGTCGGGCCACAATTTCGGCAGGCTACTGAGGTCCAAATAACATAATTCTTATAAAATAGATCCTTCTGAACAAATGAAGAAACACAATGGCCCTTTGCTTAATTGCTTCGATGAGTTTCAGAAAAGCCCAGACTGATTTTTGATCGAACCCAGAGTGAAGTTGGATTCTAGGCCTGGCTACTAAAAGCACTCTTGGCACATTTGGTAGCCCATTTTTATGACACTAACTGTTTGCCTCCCCAATTTCGTCATATGTTCAGCTTTCTTTGGCCCACTTCCAGAGATGTGGGTTGACGTGACAACTGAGTTGACATTACTAGACCAAAACTTTCTTCAATTTTGGCAGTTGACATTACTAGACCAAAACTTTCTTCAATTTTGGCACATTTGAATAATTCAGACCATGATTTGCAAAAAAAAAAAAAAAAAAAACTGACCATGATTGATTTACAACTGAAAGTCTCATATTTGATTGGAAATGATTCAAAGATGAATATTCATTACTAGCTCGTGACTAAGAGTGTTTTTTCGTCTTTTTTTTCAAACTTTATTGTTTAGTGCTCTGAAATAGTGCTTTTTAGAGAGACTAGAATTGTTTTTAGGATTTTTGTTAGGGGTTGAATTGAATTTGAATTGAGCTGATTTTGATATTTATCTCATTTTAGTGATTAGGTTTAATGTTATTTAATTTATGTATTATTCGGTTTAATAAAAATATTGTTATTTAATTATTTATTGTTATTATTGTTCATTATTTTGAATTATTTATTGTGCTTGAATGAGTGGATGGATCTCTTTTGTATTTTTATTTATTTATAAAATATATGTAATTTTCACAACATTATTCTGAGCCCAAAAAAAAACAATAGTATGTTACGGACTACTAATTACTGCAATACTTAATGAATTTTGAGTTGTTCAACGTAGGTACGGACGACGGAGAGACTCTGGTTCAAAGAGGACATCAATTTAAGAAACTTTAGAAATTCGGTTTTGGTATCATAGTCCGATATTACTATCCACCAATAGAATAAAGCTCATTGTTCATGTGACATTCTGGTTTAATCTGTCCAATACTGTGATGGGACATTGAATCATGTGATCTACATGTAACAGTTTGATTGAATATGTTAACACACATGTCCCTCACCTACAGATCCTGCTTTTTGATTGGCCCCACTAAGAAAAATAATCAATGACAAGCCATGATTAAATTAATTAGTTCATGCCGTTGGATTCATAAATAATTGGGAATAAAACAATAGGAATCAAATCATGTGACTCAAATTGTAATAAATTTGTATTCTGATTTCACATAATCAAATATGTACTTATTAGGACCCTTATCCCAAAAATTCTTGTCCTACCAAGCGACAAATTGCTCTCATAGTTTCTATTTTTAGTTATTGGTCCAATCTGTGATTCTCTCGCACAGTAGTAATGTGAGACATGAGTGAACGGTGCATGTATATATCGGGCCTCCAAAGCTTGCTGTTGCTGGATGAGGTGGTTAGGTGCCTCATGGTTCAACCATGTTTCTTAATGGGCTCCACAACACATCTTCACATGCTTTGCTAGGCCCTACCACCAATTTTATAACCCCACTCTTGGCCCATACCTCAAACAAGTTTTACAAGAAAAATGTTTCCAACATTTATTAAAAGGACCTCGTTGTTACACCGAAAATTGTTTTTAGAATTACAAGTCGAGAAGAGGTTTGTTTTTTCTTTATAATGAATAATATGTATTTTACAATATAATGAGGAAGTAGTATGATGGTGAAGATGTGAGTAAAAACCTTTCTAAGTCACAATCAAACTTTTTAAGTGCCGGCACACTCTGGACATGACATCTAAATAAGAGTATTGGGCTGTCTAACGTGGCCTAATAGAATATGTCAAAAATGAAAATTTTTAAACAAGCACAAGTTGACCATTTGTCCATTTGTATGGTGGCTTTTGTACAATGCAACATAGAGAGAATTCAATGATCCAAAGGTTGACTGGCACTAGCTACATATACACCACATTTAAACACCATCAGTGGGACATCCTCACATGCTTTTGTATCCCATGCCATAGTTATACCAAAAAGTATAAAATATTCTCGATAATACATAGTCATAGAAATTCTCATTTTATCTTAATACACGAGAAATTAAGATTTTTTATGAAAAAACATAATTGTTTCTCTAATTTGTGGTCCTAAATTTAGATTTTAGTTATCTTAAGACGAGTGGTTAAACTTAAAAGTTACAGATTACAGTAAAGCTTAATTACAAATTTGGATCACGGAAGCACACAAGTAGGTCACCCTAGCATTTTGAATGGTGTCCGAACATCCAGTTGGACTCATGGGCCCAAAATTAGGCCCAGGATTTGTAGTTACAAAACTACATTAATCTGCTTTTTAGGCTGTTTCTTTCTCTACACAGTTCATGCAATCTACTTTATGTTTTAGGAAACAATGAGATGATTAAAGCTAAAGTTAGTATGGGATCTCCAAGCTTGTGGTGCTTTGAACTGGTGGTGTGAGTGCCACGTGCCACGTCAACGAGTTACCGGAAAACCCGAGGCCATTCTAGACGTGTCACGTGCATGGATACCCAACAAGAGTTGGGTGGTGATTGAACAATTCACTCTTAAAAGTTAGAAAACATGTTCTCCAGTTATTGGTACTGGCATGAAATCTTAACATTACTACCATTTTTAATCAAGTTCGACATGTCAACGTGTTAGGCCACGTGTAGGTTGTTTGTATTTTTTTTGCCATGTGTTGCGATTCCGATGGGGGACATGACATGTCATTGCCAAGTGGCGTCTTATGACATGGGTGAAGAGGGTGGTCAGCTCTCTTTTATCTCGAGATCGACTTCAAATTTAGGAGAACAGAGAAAGGTAATTCGACAAATTCACATGGCGAAGATAATATGAACCATTGGCCATAGCAACATTATTGTTCCTTTTTCAAGATTTGTAGGCCCTAACGAGTGAGTGGTCATTATTATTATTTTTATCTAGGCTTTAATTTTGCAGGCATTTGATAAAATTGAAATGATATAGAGTAGATTAGTATGCCCCAGCACAAGGATGACATACACAAATTGTGAAATAATTCAAAATTTATATTTACTTAAAAATCGGGATTATGTTTGTTTTTTTGTTTATTGAACTTAAAAAATAAAAAGATTAACAATCTTTCAACTATTCTCAGTTTTTTAAAATCTTAAAAACTGTTTTTAAATAATTGTAGGTTGATGAACCAAGCACACTAAATAATAAGTACGATCCAATGAGTTAAATTCAATTTCTATCTTCTTTTGCAAAATGATGGATAAAGTACGAGTTTTAAACATTACCAACAAATTTGTTGTTATACACGTACCTTGTATATATATATATATATATATATATTCATTACATGTTAAATTTGTCAGGTTATTGATTGATGCGTACCAAAAAAATTTGTTGTTATATACGAATTTGTTAGTTATTGATTGATGCATACCAATAATATTTTTGTTGTCATTACTGGTTAAAATTGTCAGGTTATTGATTGTTGCATACCAATAAATTTGTTTTTATATGGAGTAGTACATTGTTAAACTTTTATATTGATTTAACTCGGGATTCACTGAACACATGTGGCAGTAAAACTTGAATTTCTAGCCTGAACATGAAAATCTGTGTTTGGAGACTCTCGACTAATCACTTTGTATAGAAAACACTTTTCTATTTCCAAACTCAACATTGAATTTTACTAAAATGAGTTCATAGTAAAAGATTTTTTCTTTGGGCGACCTAAATCTCCATCTCATCCAATGGTGGAGCATAATATAGGCAGATGTAACCTTAGTTGTATTTCGATGACTAAACACTATGTTAACATCAACATTACTCACCTATGTCACCTCAGTTTACTAATCCATACACATGGTTTTGCTTATTTATGAATGAATCAGAGTCAACAATGTCTCTTCAATGGGACTCTCTGGACCTACCTGCAACTTTCATGGCTTTGGAGTCAACAACATTGTCCACCCTCCTCAAATTTCATATAATGTATTTCTTTATCCACATTTCATCTTATCATATAATGTATTTCTTTATGGACAATAAGGGATCAAGAAAATTATATAACAGGAGGCGAATTTAAACAATAAAAATGTATAGTGCGGGATCAAAAATTATACATCAACAAGAGAATATATATATAAGAGGTGGCGGATTTAAACAACAAGAATGTATAGTGCAGGTTCAGAAATAATACATCAACTAAAAGGAGTCCACCTATCCAATACAGAAATCAATTAGAAACAACTTATCTCATGTCCTAATTGACAAACGACACGTCAAAAAGCCACCCAAACAAACACGATAAAATGAAAATTAACCGGGGCCTAAAAGTCAGCAACAAATTAAAGAAACGGAGGGGGGAAATAAGTGTTACAATTGATCAGTATAAATACACACAGAATTAGCCTAGAGCTCCATTGTTGAATTATCGTGTTCTAACTACTCTTGAAATAGTTACAAGAGTTGTACTAGTATTTTAATATAAATTAACTTAATTGTGGCCTTAACTGCATAAAATTATGATTAGTACTAGTATTATTTTGCTTACTTGAGGTTCATAATTTCGTATGAGAATCCAATGCATAAGCAGTAAAAAGATAATTCTTATATATATATATATTTTCACTCAAATGTGACGTCATTCGTCTCATACTGAGAACCTTTCATGTTTACATTTTTACCAACAACGTTTTACTGATTGGATGTGTCATCACAAAATGCACAGTAAATGTGAGGGGGATCTGCAGTAACTCATCCTAATCCCTCATCTGCTATTCATTGATGCTGAGATATTTTATACATAAACTGTAGCTTTATCACCAACCGTATCTTCAAAAGTAACAATTCATAAATGTAATATTATTTTCGGAAATTTAAATATAATCATTATTGTTTGGTTTGAAAAAAGCGGATGCCGGTTTCGATGGACCCGGATGGTTGTGCCAGAAACTGTGGTAGTTCTAAAGAGAGATCCAAACAATATTTCAGAAGGAAGATTGCGGGGCCAGGCGATTGTGTTGAGGTCTGGAATGACCGCCTCTGGGTTCTTTTTGTCTTTGATAAAGGACTTTGGAATTATTAACTGGTTAGGAAGAACTGAGAAAGTAATTGAAAATACTGTAAAATTATCTAATGAAAAGTAAAGTGCATGATTGAAACTAATCATATTGAAAGTGCATTGCAATGAGAATAAAGATTGTATTGAAATGCGTTTTTGGCGTTGAGCCCTTTCTAAGTTACAATATCATGCCCCATTTATAGAATTTAGTAATGGTAGCTTGCATGTAACCGCTTGCTTCCTAAGCTTCCATGTATCCCATGACTTTGCATGTAACTGTTTGTTTCCTTGGTTGCCATGTGTCCCAAGACTTTTCACTGGAACGTCGTAGTACCTTTCCATTAGACCGACCAGTCTCTTAGGCTGCCATGTGTTCCATGACTTTGCATGTAACCACTTGTAACCGCTCACTTCCTATGATGTGTCCTATGACTTTGCATGTAACCACTTACTTCCTAAGCTGCCATGTGTCCCATGACTTTGCATGTAACCGCTAGCTTCCTTGGCTGTCATGTGTTCTAAGACTTTCCACTGGAATGTCGTAGTAACTTTCCATTGGAATCGACCAGCTTCCTAGGCTGCTACGTGTCCTATGACTTTGCATGTAACCGCTCACTTTCTAGGCTGCCATGTGTCCCATGACTTTCTGTATAACCACTCATTTCTTAAGCTGCAATGTGTCCCATGACTTTGCATATAATCACTTGTAACTGCTTGTTTCCTTGGCTACCATGTGTCCCAAGACTTTCCACTGGAATGTGGTAGTACCTTTCCATTGAAATCGACCAGGGTAATCTCCTACTGGAAAGTGGAAAATAAGGGTGTAAACATTGCCCCCCAAATTTGATGTGCCTGATATTCTTTGAAGAATTGTAAGGCATATCAAATTTTAGATGTGAGTGAGAATTTGCCATGCGATATTCTTATTGTTAAGGAATTGAACAAGTAAAACTTTTCAGCCGGAATGTACCATTAGGCCGAAAACTTTTAAGCAGTTTTATTTAACTAAATGAAGATTTGAAGCCTCACGTCCAATTTCGTTACCCCCCGAGGTCTGGAGGTTTACGAGGAGGACGAATTTGTATATCTTCAGGCCAAAACCATAGTTGATTTGCCAAGTTTTGCCGCCCAAAATTCACAAGATGTGAATTTGGGACAAATAAAATAATAACATTTTTTTCCAAAATTGGAAGAAAAATACTATAACCGTTATATTTTTCAAGTGGAAGAATATACAACGATTGAGAAGCTTGTGCCGTTTCCGATGGAAAATCTGGTTGTGGAAAATCTTATTCCAATGGAAGAAGTGATAACGGCTTCCTATAGACTAGTTTGTCGACCTTCTTCATGGCCAAGCCACAGTTTTGCTGGGAGAAGTCAGCAAGTTGGCTTGTATTTTTTGGCCAACCTTTGGGTAAGTTGGCCATTGGATGCCTCCCAAACACCACTGGAATAGGATTTGGGTCTTCCAAATGAATACTCCTCCGACGGATTAGATTTACTCATTGATTAGGAGGTTTCCTTAGAGGGTGTTCAATTTCGAATGCTATTAGAAAGGCTATAAGTGGCCTTAGAGGTGTGCTTGTAGGCTGCTGAATGTTCGAAAGTGGAACATTCTGTTGGACCTGAAATTGAACTTTCTGGATTGCTACTGGTGGAGGGTTCTGCACCTTAAGTGGAACCTGCACCTGCGATGGAAGTGGTTGAGCTACCGCCAGTGGAATCGACTTCCCTGTTGCTGAAGGGTTCTGCACCTTAGGTGGAACCTGCTTCTGCGATGGAAGTGGTTGAGCTACTGCCAGTGGAATTGACTTTACTGTTGGCGGAATCGACTTCACTACTGATGGAATTGAAACCATAAGTTTGGGTAATGAATTTATAGTTTCTGGCCAACCTTTGGATAAATTGGCTATTAGATGCCCCCCAAACACCACTAGAATTGGCTTTGGGTCTAGGTTATTCCTCCAGCGATCTCTACTGCCTCCTTCTTCAGGAAGCTCCCTTGGTACGTTCTGCCCCCCAACTGCCATAGGAAAAACCTGAGGTAGTTTTTGAGGAATGGTAGGAGGTGGCTGAACATTCTGCTAGCCAACATTGGGTGGAAAATACAACTGATTTCCCAATTGACCTGCTTGAGTTGTACCATGCTGTTCTATTGGAATAGACATCGATTGTGCATATGGCATCTGCGTCGTCTGTGCCTGTGGCATGGAATGCACAGGCTGATAATAAGGACTTCCCTTAACAAAAGTACTTGGCATGTTCACTGGAATGACCAATTGATGAGAACCTTCTGAATTGCTTGACCTATCGGTTATGCTTTTATTAATATTGGCAATGCTTTGATTAATACTGGCCATGCTTTGAGGAAGACTGGCCATGCTTTGAGAAAAATTAGCCGAAGACTGGTTAAATGAAGCTAACTGGTCCAGTAATTGATCCATCTTCACGTTTTGCGCAAAGATGGCTTCTTTACGACTACGAGCAATCTTCTCTATCACATCCATGATAGGTTCGTTTGCTTTGATGAACTTTGTAACCATATTTTCTTCTTCTTCAGGAATGGCTCTAGAACTTTCATCAGGAAGTCCAATAGCCTGTTCCTCTTCAATTTCGGTAGGATCTTGAACAGATTTGCCGTTTTTTTTTTCCTCCCGCTATAGAAACACTCCTTTCGGAATGTCCCACCGGGCATGCCACTATGTTTGGCCTAAAAAAAGCGGGTGCCGGTTCCGATGGAACCGGATGGGGGTGCCAGGAACTGCGATAGTTCCAAAGAGAGATCCAAACAATATTCCAGAAGGAAGACTGCAGGACCAGGCGACTGTGTTGAGGTCTGGAATGACCACTTCTGGGTTCTTTTTGCCTTTGATAAAGGACTTCGGGATTGTTAACTGGCTAGGAAGAACTGAGAAAGTAATTGGAAATACTGTAAAATTATCTAATGAAAGTAAAGTGCAGGACTGAAACTAATCATTTTGAAAGTGCTTTGCAATGAGAATAAAGATTGTATTGAAATGCATTTTTGGTGTTGAACCCTTTCTAAGTTACAATATCATGCCCCATTTATAGAATTTAGTAATGGTAGCTTGCATGTAACCGCTTGCTTCCTAAGCTTCCATGTATCCCATGACTTTGCATGTAACCGCTTGCTTCCTTGGTTGCCATGTGTACCAAGACTTTCCACTGGAACATTGTAGTACATTTCCATTGGACCGACCAGCTTCTTAGGCTGCCATGTGTCCCATGACTTTGCATGTAACCACTTGTAGCCGCTCACTTCCTAGGATGTGTCCTATGACTTTGCTTGTAACCGCTTGTAACCACTTATTTCCTAAGCTGCCATGTGTTCAATGACTTTGCATGTAACCGCTCACTTTCTAGGCTGTCATGCGTCCCATGACATTTTTATAACCACTCACTTCTTAAGCTGCCATGTGTCCCATGACTTTGCATGTAACCACTTGTAACCGCTTGCTTCCTTGGCTGCCATGTGTCTCAAGACTTTCCACTCGAATGTGGTATTACCTTTCCATTGAAATCAACCAGGGTAATCTCTTACTGGAAAGTGAAAAATAAGGGTGTAAACAATTATATTTGTCAAATTAGTTGTTTTCCTTGATAAACAATCTACTAATATTATTTTTGTTATTTGTAATTTAATATATGAAATGAAAAAAGTGAATAAATATTGATATTTAAATTGCTAAATTATCGAATTGAGTCCCAAGTGAAATTTTTTTTAGTATAGAAAAGAGAATGGAGATTTATTATATATCTTTTCTTTTTTTATTAAGTTCGAGTACGTAATAGTTAGATTTTTGATGAAAATGACAAAATGAAATGAAAAAAGTGCAATATTATTTATTGTTTGTAGTTACATGATCTATGAAAACAAATAAAATAAAATAAGAAAAGCAAAAAGAAATCAAAGTAGATCTCACTATCAATATCTATCATGCGATTTTAATTCTAGAATTGTATCTACCACTTTCCGTCCAAGTCTCTATTAGTTTCTTATATCACATTCATGTGATAAGAAATTTGTCAAAATCAAATTCATTTCAATGCATTCAAACAGCCGTTACCAGAAAGAAATCAAAATGATCATACCGGTGGATGAAAGATATTATGAAAAGAAAAACATGATATTTACTATTTATAACCCTCAATAAAAAAAGTTTTAAACATAAATATTGCTAACTCTAATAAATGTATTGGAGAAGTTTTTGATACCCTAAAAAGGAAAAAAAAAATTAAGTAAGTATAAAATATTTCAAAATTTATTGTCAAAATCTTGTTATTTTTTTCCCAACGTCCAAATCATGAATTAAAATCGAGTAATCTTTTATCCAATAATGTTGTATTTAATAGGGGCTACCATAAAATCACAGTACAATTAATCATCTGCATTTAAAATTTTCCTAACTCCACTGTCACACCACCAATCTCACATAAAATTTCACAATGGTGCATCTCACTCTCACATGGCTTCTGATGACCTGTCCAAATCATCTCCATCCCTCATCTCCCACGTCACCACAAATTACACTTCTACACGGTAAAACTTACACCTTTTTTATTTCCAGTAATGTTGTATTTAATGGAGGGTAATTTCATTAGAATTTTTTTACAAAATAGCAAGAGCTTTACTGGTATTATACGTGGCCAATTAAATCACATGGTAAAGTTATAATATAATTACATTAAAATTTCTTAGAAAAAAGGTAGGAACTTTACTGGTATTGTAGACAGTTGATTAAATCATAAAGAGTCATGAAAATCGAACGGTTCGTGATGAATGTGTGGAGATTGTAATTTGCATTAGAATTTGTTAGAAAAATGGCAACAGCATGCAACATCGGGTGAACATTTGTCCCAGAGAGGTTTACCTGCGTTGCACGTGCCACCTATAAAAGGCCACGTCAGTTATGATGACCATAATATGAGTGGAATGGTCCAGAAACCACAGTGGTAAAAACGAGAGTTTTAGAGAGAGAGAGAGAGAGAGAGAGAGAGAGAGGGTGCGTATGCGTATAGAGAGAGAAACACTTGCGTCTGAGGCTTGAAGCTTATCACTACTGTTGTTATCTACCACCACCAAGTTCTCTCATTTTCGCTCCAGAAAAGGAAAACTACTAATGGGGGAGGTTTTTAATGGCTTAATCTTCTCAATATTTCAGCATAATTTTTCATTTTCTATCAGTTTTTTCTGTGTCCTGTGTTTGTTTTGGTACTGATTTAAGATACTGGGTTGTGTTTTTCCAGGAAGAAAAGAAGCCAGCGGAAAAGAAAATGGAGGAAAAGAAACCAGAGGAAGAAAAAAAACCAGCTGAAGGGAAAGAAGAAGGAAAATCTGAGAAACCAAGCGAGGAAAAGAAAGAAGAGAAGAAAACAGAGGATTCGAAGGAGACACCGCCGCCGCCGCCGCCGCAAGAGGTTGTGTTGAGAGTCTTCATGCATTGTGAAGGGTGTGCCAGAAAGGTCCGAAGATGTCTCAAAGGCTTTGAAGGTCACAACTTTTTTTCTATTTTTTTTTACCTTTTAGATCTACAGATGCTCTGTTTTGTCTATGAATCGAAGAACCCAGTTCAATGTGCTTGATTTCTCAGGCGTTGAGGATGTTCTGACTGATTGCAAGACACACAAGGTGGTTGTGAAGGGAGAGAAAGCAGATCCATTGAAGGTTCTAGAGAGAGTTCAGAGGAAGAGTCACCGACAGGTTGAGCTTCTCTCACCCATACCGAAACCACCGGCCGAAGATGCCAAGAAGCCTGAAGAAAAAGAAGCTCCCAAACCAGAAGAGAAAAAGGAGGAGGTTTGTGAATTGTTGTCTCTTATCTATGTGGATCTTCCATTGTTATGGTTTTTGAGTTCTTGTCTTCTTTGTTGCTTCGCAGCCTCAGGTGATTACTGTATTTCTGAAAGTTCACATGCACTGTGAGGCTTGTGCTCAAGAAATCAAAAAAAGGATACTGAGAATGAAAGGTAACATTTTTTTTACAATCCAATATTCCAATTAGATTATTTTAATCACTTTTTTTTTTTGGGTTCGTTCTGCAAAGTAATTCCATTCTCTCTTTTGAATCTCTAATTATATATATAAAGAGGTTTATGATTCTGTGGTCTCAATCTTTCACTATCTTACATTCTTTGGTTGGACTCAATTATTGAATGGAATTTCTTCTTCAAGTTTTGAAGTCAAAATAGGGTCATTAAATAACAATTAATTTTCAATTGAATGTGAAATTAGTTGACCCATTAAACATAGATTACTTGAAATTCGTAGAAAACCCAATTGATCTGTATATGTTTGCATACAGGTGTTGAGAACGCAGAGCCAGATCTAAAGGGGTCGCAAGTGACAGTGAAAGGCGTGTTCGACCCACCAAAGCTGGTGGAGTACGTGCACAAGAGAACAGGAAAACACGCAGTGATAGTGAAGCAAGAGCCAGAGAAAAAAGAGGAAGAGAAGGCAACGGAAGGCAAAGAAGAGAAGAAAGGCGAAGACGGAGACAAAGACGGGAAGAAAGGCGGTGGAGGTGCGGAAGAGAAGAAGGAAGGCGGCGGCGACGCGGCGGCAAAACCAGATTCTGCGGCGGAGGAGGACGAGAAGTTGGTGGATGTGAAGAAGAACGATTTTCACTACTACTACCCACAACAGTACCAGGTTTACCCGGCGAGGTACGCCGCCGAAATGTACAACCAGTACCCTCCACAGATCTTCAGTGACGAGAACCCTAATGCCTGTAGTGTGATGTAAAAAGGGATGGATGTGAGGGGCAAAATGGGGATAAATGACCCCTTTTTAGTCGCTCAATTGCGCTACATGTGCCCTGTTTGGAGGGGGAGACTGCAGAGGAACTGTAGAATTTTGTGAGGATTGTACTACTTTGTCCCTTTTTCTTTAATCGTTGTTACATAAACTGATATAACTCATAATATAATAATAATAATAATAATAATAATAATAATAATATGGTAACGTATATAAAATAAAAAATGTCGTACCTTAATTTGTTTATTATTATGTGCGTTGAAGTTGCAAAATTTATGGTAGTTGAATCTATTTTATATTTGAACAAGTGGGTGTGGAGTAAATGAGTGTGTGATGAGAAATGGACCTGAAACAGTAGTTTCTATCTTCAATGACTTCATTATTTCCCCATAAATCTTCAATGAGGTAATAATTATGGTGTGTGTAAATCAATATAATCTGGGGTGGATTACCGTGAGCCTCTGTTAGATTTTGTTATTTAATTATGGTGTGATTATGAAAATGAGCGAGAGGGACATCATTTCATAATCTATTATCGGAAACATACATTCATTCCATAATTCACCACAGCACACCTACAGTTTCTAGTGCCCAGCCCAAGCTAATTCAGTGAACTTGTCTGGTAATTTTGGTTTGGTTACGGCACACCAAGAATCTCCCGTGCCGCATACACTAGGCAACCCGACCCAGTCCAGTGAACTTATCTGGTAACTTTGGTTATTGAAGTGAAAATAAATTTTCGGTAAATAATGTGTTACCACCAAGATGGTAGTAGTAAACTAGTAATACGGAGTCAAAAATTATTTCAGGCCAATCACATTGAAAATGATATAAAATATATATTTTTCAATTAAAAAGAGAAATATAGGTTAAAGAAAATTTATCATTGTCAAATAAATTCCATCAGAGAAAAATAAGTACTTAAAATAGATGAAGGAGACACACACAAACCCATGTTTGGAACTTGAAAAAGTAAGGGATCAACTCAGGGTTGGTTGAGGTGTTTTGAGGGTTCAGCCAATTTTGGCCCAAGTGTAGGAAAAGTTGAAAAGAAAAACAGAGCGGAAGATTTTTTTTTTTTTTTTTTAAACTAAAGTTGAGTTGTTTTTAATGATAGTACTTTTTACTTTTTAATATTCAAATATTTGATTGAGGATAAGTAAAATATTTTGCATACCTTAAAAAGTGGGATAAGATTAATAATTTTGCATAAAAGAAGGGGCACTGTGTTACTTGACGAGTGGACACGTTAGTTGTCAATAGGAAAAAAATATTTGTTTTGAAAATTTGTGAAATAGTACAGATTTAAATTCATTTTAATTATAATTACTATTATTTTTGTTAAGTCAAAATTCTCCCAAAATTAGGAAAAAGGTAGTTGGAACCATGTGGTGTTATACTGTTATATAGTAGTACACTATCCATGGGGATTCTCCTGGTTAAAGTATCACATCAGAGTAGGTTGTTGCTACCCTTCACTTTCCACCTCCAACTACTCAAAACTACCTTTGCTTGCAGTCGGTAAAGTTATTTTTTCTTATTTTATTTTATTTTTTTCAGTTAAAATATTTTATTCCTTGCTATCTCTTTCAGTCCACAGAGAGTTGAGCTTATAAGTCCCTGACACGTAAGTTGGAAGTTGAAATATAATCTTTCAAAGCACACGCGAATGTTTATATTGTGACCAAAAGAGAATCCAAATGATAAATAGCTCATTTATTTTGTTATTTATTTATTTATCTCTATGTTCAAATGAAACAATTAACGTTGTCTAATGGATGTCCAAACCAGGCTTGTTGCTTAATTCGTTAATTACAACTCAGTATGCCTTTTTTCAAGTTTCTACGTCCACCAATTTGTCAATTTTTGTACCGGGCCACTTTTCACTAGACGTACAGTCTTTGCTTCCATGCATTTTCACTGTCTCTTGAGAGCACCATCTCCATAAAGTACCCTCATTATTTATCATACATATATATATATATCCTATTGATGGATTGTATGGTGACAGGGTTGGCCTCAACTTTATGGTACAATTTTTCGTTTTTGAATTTGTGGACTCTAGTGAACACCATAGATACCTGAAATCCACCTTCTCGTTTCATGTAAAAGGTGCCAAATGGGACTCGATGTATGGAAATAGTGTTGGAGATCAAACTAAAGGTCCAAATGTCGCAAGCCATGTAAAAAATGCATGCCCCATTGCCTAGAAATTACCATGTGAATGGCTTAGTAAGTTCTTTCTCATACTTTTAACATTATTTAATGATTTTAATGTGTATAGTTTCCACAAGTTGACTTTTGTTTTGAATACTATTATTTGAGTTAAAAAAGAGGGTACGAAAGTTCGACACATTTGATTATATATGTGTGTGTGTGTGAGAGAGAGAGAGTAAAAATTGATATCATTCTTGTACCAAAATTTGACGTTCGATAGTGATTACTTATCATTTTTCATATTATTTTCATGTTTGGCTTTTCTTCTCAAATAAATGTCACTTAATGTCGCAAACCATGTAAAAAATGCATGCCCCATTGCCTAGAAATTACCATGTGAATGGCTTAGTAAGTTCTTACTCATGCTTTTAACATTATTTAATGATTTTAATGTGTTTAGTTCCGACAAGTTGACTTTCGTTTTGAATACTATTATTTGAGTTTAAAAAGAGAGTACGAAAGTCCGACACATTTGATTATATATATATATATGTGTGTGTGTGTGTGAGAGTAAAAATTAATATCACTCTTGTACCAGAATTTGACGTTGGATAGTGACTACTTATCATTTTTGATATTATTTTCATGTTTGGCTTTTCTTCTCAAATAAATGTCACTTAATGTCGCAAACCATGTAAAAAATGCATGCCCCATTGCCTAGAAATTACCATGTGAATGGCTTAGTAAGTTCTTTCTCATGCTTTTAACATTATTTAATGATTTTAATGTGTTTAGTTCCTATAAGTTGACTTTCGTTTTGAATACTATTATTTGAGTTAAAAAAGAGAGTACGAAAGTTCGATATATTTGATTATATATATATATATGTGTGTGTGTGAGAGAGAGTAAAAATTGATATCATATCAGAATTTGACGTTCGACAGTGACTACTTATCATTTTTCATATTATTTTCATGTTTGGCTTTTCATTCTCAAATAAAATCAAGTTCTTAACTTGCATGGAGTATTGAGAATTGGCGATCGGGACTTTTGAAATCTATCCAGAGGTTTGAGCGTGAGGACTAGGCCTTTCAAAAGTGCTGGTGTGTGTGTGTGTGTAAGAGTTGTTGGATTTGAGGTTTGTTAATATCCTTTTCAAAAGCTGTATCATTCACAAAGGATTACAGGTGATGATCGATATTTAATATAGCAATTAGGTATTAAGTGCATTCATAGGCACAATGATTCGAGAGTTACTGGCCTCTCTTATTGCAATAAAATTAATCAGGCTTTCCTTGTCTATATATATATATAGGTAGTGATTCCTTTCAATTGTATCATAATTACCTACCTTTCCGACTTTCAACCACTGCCATCCTTTTAATTTACTCCAAATTCCGCAATAAAGCTTGTATTGATCACCTTATAAGGATCTGTTTGGCATTTTAGTGCAAAAAAACTACTTTCAAACTCGAATCCATGCTTAGAATGATCACAAAATTCTTCAAAGTGATATTGAGAAAAACCATATTTGTAAATCCTCTAAAGGGAGAAATTTATTCTGTCAACATTCTCTACGTACATTCTTATTCTCCCTTTTGTTGACTGTTTAATCTTCTTTTAATAAACACACCCTTTGAAGCTCAATTTTTTTATATGCTAGTAAGTAAAAAGTGAAGTGTAAAGAAGACAACCTCAGAGAATATTTTTTTTTTCTCTCTTTTAAAGAATTAGAAAGGATCAAAATTACTTTCAATATACTCCTTCTATCTCACCAAAAAATTGAATTCACGGTGATGAATTCACTCTCAATTTGCCAACGCGTGCGAATTATGTGATTTAACTTGTTGACTTTTGTGAGCTGTCGCTCACGGCTCACCACCTCCACTCTTGTATATCTAATGAGAAATGGGCCTTGATTTTGTTATCATATTTAGTTCTCTCTACTAGTAGCATGGTTCTCGGTCTTATTTTCTATAATAATTAACATATTAAAAATCTCAACTGATTAAGAAGTGTACAACTTTTCATTCATTAGACGGGCGGAATCAAAAATGCATAATAGGATGAGTTAATCTATTCTAAAATGGAATAATACTATTAAAATTATTATTATTATTTTGAACTGGGCTAAAAATTACCTCTAATAATTTTTTTTTTAGTGGGTTCAGTCCCACCAAAGCTCACATGTCGATCTGGCCTTGAATTATGAGGTCTAAATTAAACAAAGCTCGATATATTTGCTTAGTTGTGGTAAGTTTAGATTTTAAATTTTTACAAAACTTTGATTAATTACAATTCAATACGCAAATAATAAAAACAATAAAAATGACATATCCAAAAGAGACCGTGTAAAAATTTATAATAAACCCGTGTTTAGATTTATCTAATAAATGAAGCGGGTGGGGTTGTCGCCGAGGACACTAAAGTAGGATTTGGAGGAAGAAAAAGATAAGCCAAAGCTCTCCCATAGTCTGTCCCACTCTCTATACCGTGATCGTCAACATTTTATCCATTATTATTATAATTGTAAGACCTAAGTTGTAATGGATGTTGCAACAATAAATCCGACTTTTCTGAGGCAGGACCTATTTAAAATTAATTATTAAAATTAGGTTTGTTCCCACAAAATTATACAGTACTCCAATAAATTATGAAGTGCCTCGAAAACGTCGACGTGTACCTCTGAACTTACTTTACCAAAACAGTTAATTAATTGTAATTAAACAAATCCCATTAATGGTGATAATTCCATTCTGGGGGCGGAACTTAACAAGCGGCCCACTAAATATTCTTGGTTGGTATGGTGGCCCACTGAAAAGTTACTGATTGCTAAAAATTTCTGACCTCCACTAAATTTTTCTGACAACCCTTTGGCAGATTCACTAGAGGCCCATAAACTGTGACGGAGAGCTCGAATTTTCACGCACACGTATATACGCATCCATATCCATCTTAAATCATAACTTCACATGCAAGGCGCCGCCATGCTTCACACCTCTCTCCTTCACCATGTCCAAATCTCTTCGTGCCTTCAACGCGCATACAATGCCCATCCCTCTCCAACTTCTCTATCACATATATATATATAAAATATAATTATATATATTAATTTAATGTTATACAACGCGGTACTATTTATCATTACTAAATCTGGGCACTTAATACGAATTCTTCTGCAAGGTATTGTGAGGATAATATCTAATTAACTAAATTGATTTGCTATTAATTTGATTGATTCTCAAAGGAAGATGGGCTTTTGAAGAGGAGAGGCTCATTCTTCATCATCAGATTATTTTCCTGTGGACACAATGACCATGACGCCAGCTTCATCGGGAATATTCCTTTGTGATTCAGGTTGAGTTGCTTCACGCTCCGTAAAAAAGCGTGAAATCAGAACGCCGATATTATAGTAGCATTTTGGATCAGGCTTCCACGTGATGAGTCCAGAATAATTACGGGCCGAGCCCACGTGACTGCTGCTGCGACTGTCTGTCACAAGTCTTTGTGGGAAAGTATTTTCGTACGTTTCGGGTTTTGTCTTTTTCTATACGTTACATGACATGAGCCTGCTGTACAGTTTTGAACAACATCCTCTCCATCCTCCATGTCTATAATCAGTTCCAATTACATTACAATGAGATATCACTCCTTTCAACTAGGTCAAATTTACATCATTTTAATGTTGGGAATAGCACAAAAACAAACAATCAACCAAAAACAATTATGTATTAATTTCAAAACTAGACTCTTTTTAATTCAACTTCATGATTAGAAATCGTGGTATGAATCACCATATCGTTTGTGGTCGTAATGTAACATATTCAAAAATTTAGACGAATATTAATATAAACCGAATAAATTGATGGGTTCATGAAATTGTGTAATGATATTTTACCCTTAAAAAAGACTACAAAGTGTATGAACTTAAGGTATAAAAAAAAACTCTAAGCCAAGAAAAAAAAAAAAAATTAGCATTTACTTGTAGGCCTAATTCAAATATTAGCGATGACGTACCAACCAATAATTATATCATACAAATAAAATGGAGTTGAGTATTCAAATAAATACCGATTCAATATCGGTATGATTTTTTTGACCAAATAATCTAATCTCACTCATCAAATGAATTTTAAACCGTTTTCTTGTCCATAAGTTTAAACTAATAGAAATTACACCGTACCCTTGATGATTTTTATTTGATTGTATGCCAAAAAAAAAAGAAGTAGATTTTTTGAATTACGTTATTACAGAAAATGAAATGAAATTGACCGGTTGTTTTTTTTTTTTTTTTGGGCGTACTGAAAGCATATCTTTTTAAGATACTACCCTAAGCAGTGAGGGATAGGAGGAGGGTACAATGATGATGGATGGGTTAGACTGTGCTTTGGGCATTTCGTCAGAAGATGTAGGGTTGCAATAATTGGGCAGAGAAATTAATTTGTGCCCTTTTCCTGTCTCGTGAGCCAGGCCACCATGTTGGACCACCCATGCAATAACATAACTACTACAGTACTAATCATTTAGATTATCATTTGAATTTATGATTGACTTCATTTTATGAGGAAGATCAAATCCAAAACAACACTCATATGTGTCACATGGCACTCAAATATTTATATATTAAAATATGTAAACTTTACACCAGACAATTTAAGATATACATGACTTGATCTTAGCCAAAAAAAAAAAAAATGGAGTATAATGAAAAATATGATTATTATATACATTTAATTAATATAAGTTCATATCCACATAAAAGATGATGAATTAGGGAGCATTGCCCCTTGTTGGATTGAAGCAGTTTTGGATAATCATATAAGCGCTTTTGTTCCAGTGTTGGGTGATGAATGAAAGCACTAATATTACAATGGGGATAAAAAGGTACAACTGTTTGTGATTATTAGATAAAATAATTTCATATCCAAAGAAAAGATGATGAATTATATAAAAGAGAGAAAAAAAGAAAAGTAATAAAATAATTAAGTTCATGTCCATAGAAAACATAAGTTTTTTTGTTCAAGTGTTGGGTGATGAATGAAATCAACAACATAAAAGTATGAAATAAAAAAATAAAAAAAATAAAAAAAACTGCTGTAGAACTCTGTGATCAGAAAAAGTTTCAGTGGCTCATAAATTTGTTGATATTGTATGTGGTACAAAGTTGGGGACATTAGTGCGGTGTAATCCTCAATCATTTCGGTCACATGTCTTGCTCAAAATGTGATTTGATTAGAGCCCCAAAAGACCAAACAAAGCGGGGTTGGCAGTAATGTTATTTTAGCCTTTTGCCTTCAGATATTTTTCTCCACCTCCTATGATTACACAAATAAGATTCTCAATCTTTGGTCTCTAATACGTAATTGTTATGGTATCGCTGAGTCAAGAATGCAACATCACTTTGATAGAAGATGTAATAATAACAGAAATGCGTTGCATTATTTATTACATAATGTTATGATATTACAATATTGCGTCTTGATATCATATGTTACATCTGTGTTAGTATTTGCATCAATGCTGCATTGGTTAAGGTTAATCCATTTGGTCTTAATATAGAGAGAGTGGAGCAATGGGCCTAACTCAATGTGGGCCTGAGTGTACTTTTCTTTGCCTACTTGGGGTGGTGTCTATGTTCTCTTAGGATGTTTGCATTCAGATTGGGCTTGGGCCCAAAGCTGTTATCCCAAGATTAGAAAACCATTAATGCTGGTTTCTAAGCCAAGTGTTGGGACAGGAAACTTAGGGCTTGTTTGGTAACTCTAAAATTTTTTGAGTAACAAACCAAACACGCCTTTACTTTTAGTATTTTTTCGTATAATTAGTTGTTCTCACTTCTCATGGACAGCATTAGAACAACATAGTATAAAACTGGATTATTATAAATTGTTCCATGCGTGTTTAGAAGCTCAAAATCGTTACATAAACAGCCTGAGGGTTCCAATTCTAAACAGAAATATAGCACATGCAAACCAATATGAAGACCAAAGTTAAACAAGAAATCAAAAATAAAAATGAACAACATTGTTGGTAGGGACCATATGTGGTAAGATCACATAATGTGTTTTTGTTTGGGTTGCCATATTGATCTTGCTCGGATTATCTCTGCTTTATCACTTTGCATTCGAAGCAAGTGTGTGCTTCCCAATTCTGCTCTGCTATAATTTGAAACATCATTGGAAGCAACTCCCTTTTTCATACTAGTCAAGGACTCTAGCATATTTGATTGTCTACATTCACGCCTGTACTCCAATGTCATGCTTGTAAGATTGTAGTGTTCTAACACATTTATTGGCACACTCTGAAAACACATTGTGGCAAAACTATAAGAAACTCTTACTTCCACATTCAATTTGTGTGTGTGTGTGTGTGTGTTTTGATCTTTGAAATGTACCTCTAAAATCCATCCAATATACTTCACATTATTTACATGCTGATTTGCATCCATGTCACTCCATCTTGGCTGGTTTTTGCGAACAGAAACAGCAAGTGAGACTAATAAAGTATGGACTCGTGAAAGGTTTAAGTGTTGATCAACACGAATTATGTTGACGAGAGTTCTAACCTCACCGTCATCCTGATAACTAAAATTGAAACACTTGTAGTTATGATACTTACAGCTAGACCTGATCTGATTCTCTCCGCGGTTTCATCATTGAGTTTCTCAATTTTTTCGTTGTCTGCATCTGCTGTCGCGATGGCAACTCTGTTGAGGTAGAAGGGTTGGACCTCTTTCTTCACTTCATCCGGGATCTTAGACAACCTTCTTGTTTCTCTGTTCATGATCACCCAGGTACTGCAGAGGAAGATATAGAATTAGGAGTTAGGTTATAAGATTAGGAACTTGTGTGTACAATTCTATGACTTGGACACTCATGACCTTGTTGCCTTTGTTATGATCTTTTGAGTGTTGGTGTCCCGGATTATCCAGTCTCGACGCATTCCATTTTTTCCTGCTGCATCCACCCAAGTATCAATCTCAACCACATCTCCCCTGTCACATAAGGTCACCTTTCTTCGGTTAGTTGTATATGTGTACTAATTTATGAAGTATTATTTATAGTTTTACTCAATTATTTCAAGTCATTTCAAGTTTTTGTATAGGAGAATGGGAGAATTGTATATACCAGGAGCTATATTTTTCTACTTGGATGTGTATGCGAGTGACGACCCAAATGAGTTTCCTGAGGCTCATCTCCCTGGTTGTTCCGAAGCCATTCCCGGCAACTCCAGAGCTGGTAACATGATTCAGGGCTGTTTCCTACACTCATTTCATAAACAGTATAGTAATTTTAAGCTTTGTCAACCACTTTCAACTTCAAAATTAACCACATTCAAGCAAAGGGTAATGTACTAATGTCATGATTCTTAAGTAAGCTACAACTTTTGCCCTCATTAATTATGTGAAATTTAGAATAGTTTGGATTTCGCATGCCTTCTTGAACCAATCTGAAGCACACATTTTGGACACAACTTGTTGGATCACCATGGAAAAAGGTTTGGCATTTCCCCTTACATATAATATGGAAATTTTACAACCTAGATGGATGATATTTGTATATTGAAAACACATTATCTATTCATCATATTTAAAATCAGTGTGGTCATGACTATATGACGTTGTAACTGATAGTGGGCTGATTAATTAACAGTTCTCAAAAAAAAAAAAAAAAAAAAAAAAAAAAAAAATGTAAGAAAAACCAACCTGAAGGAGATTCATAAGTGTTTCCATGGTGGCAGTCTTATCCGGTCCGATTTCGTAAGACCTAATACAGAAGGTCTGTCTATAGACAAACCGGTCGTCCACAAAGCTACCAAGGAGAAAGGCATGAACAGGCTCTTCAATAACCTTGTTTACCTTTACCATGTTGCCACTGCTTCTTGTGTCCAAATATGGAACACCACCACCCACATCAATCCCATTCACTTTTTTGCCATTGATCATCATGTCCACACTCTGAAAACTATAACCATTTGCTTTCACTGAAAACCTTTGCCTCAACATGATGCCATTTCTCTTGCTCCGAAAACCCGGGTTCAAAACTTGGATGGCCCTGACCTCGTTCTTCCATTCCGCCCTGCATAAATCCTCTTGATAGTAGTGTGTGAAGTTCTTAGCTGAAGCCATGGATGTCATTACTAAAGTGTCATTCATTTACACACAAAATTTACAATACTACAAAATTTAAGTGTCATAAAAGAAGAACCATGTAGCTTCTAGCTAATGTATATTTGTTGAAAATATAAAAATTTAGATTTGCTAGCTAGTAGTTATAACCACTTGTTACAAAGGGTACAAGGCTAACACAGGAAGGGAAAGAAATTAAAGGGAAGGAAAAGGAAAATGTCTTTTAAAACTTGTGGTACAAAATATAAATAGTAGAGGAGGAGAGGGGATTTAATTTGTAGCTCAACTACTTGTTTGGGTGGGGGAGAAAATTTGAGAGGTGGATTGTAATTACAGATGATTCTTAGGTGTTAGTAATTGGCCAAACAGTTATCGTGCCATTCATTGTACTTTTTTTTGTCTTCTAGAAAAAAGGTTACCCCAAAGGGCTATAGAAGTAGAATGGTTCAGATTCGGGAGGAAATTAAATATGAAAAAAATTGTAGGTCATCTGTCTCCCGACTTTAGTCCACTGTGTGTATGTGTGTGTGTCTGTTGGATTAGTTTGGCACAGGGTGTAGAAATGCGAAAGGCAATAGTGGTTTTGAAAATCCAAAATGGGTCCTTTTAATGCGTAATGAGACTTTTTTTTATTTTTTTATTTTTTTATTATTTATTTATCCTTTCAAACGACCCCTTATTTGGAAAATGCTTCCAAAGAAGGAAGGGTGGAAAGTCAATTGACAATTCAAAGACTGTAGGCCCTTTAGCAAAAGAGAGTTGTTAAAAACTATAAAAAATACCACTTTTCTCTCCTTTCACTTTCTTCAACTTTGTCATTCTATATTGCAGTAATAGAATTAACAAGTCGTTTCTTGATAAACTTTTAACACATAGACAACACAATTTCAAAATAATCTTACTATTAATGCTTGTTAAGAGAGGTGAAAGAAAGATAGAAAGGGAAAGATAAGTAGATAAATGATAATGAGATGATGAGAAACTTCATATTTTATATATTTGTAGAGTTATGATAAAAGTTTTAAATTATAATAATATTCTTTATAAATTTTAAATGTTGAAAGGAGTAGCAATGGTCATAGTAAAAATAATTTTAAATTTTCTCGCTGTTTTTCCTAGCAAACAAAGTGCGTTGTAAACTTCTTCTTTTCTCTTATGCAGTATTCAATCAAACAAAAAGAGTGAATGACACAATCTTTTTGTAGAGATGTCTCCTCCATTACTTCTCTCTTTTTTATCTAATTTTCCTCAACAAATCAACAAAGCGTAAAGTAGTTTAGCATTGTGATCACAATCAATGGTCTACAAGTTAATGGTAATGCTACCGTGCGGTCTCTACCATGACGCTTCTCATGAGCTCTCTGTCTTATTGTTATTGAGGCATGAATCTAAAGGTTTGAAAGAGGATTTTATGAGTGCAATATAGTCAAAATTTTGTATTAAAATTCATTTACAATAAAAAAACACGAATTAGACAATTTTAAACACTATTTCTTTTGACCAAATTACACTATTAACTTTACTGGTCTTGTATATGGTATTTTGAACCGAGTTTTATTTTTTATTACAGTGAGATCATTTTTATATTGGCAATATGATTGTATAAGTTGTGCATTATTATTATTTTGTCCAAACTATATTGATTTAAAGGAGTGCACATGACCGCGTAATAGCATTACTCCAGAGGGGTTTGGTAATTACCAGATCACCTAATGTAGACGGCCTAATAAGGCCCAACATCAGGCCCAATCATCCAGGTTATGCGTGAGCTTAAAGCCTTAAAGAGCTGTCTTAAAACTCATGGAGGCCCATAAATGTAGGCTGAGTCCATAGAGTAGTTGGGCTCTAACATCAGTTCAAGCATGTGCACTAGAATAACTCTTCTGTTTTGCAAGTGTTTATTGGCCAACTTTACTTTTAAAAACTCTTTTAATTGGTCAGTCAATTGAGATGAATCACAAGATTTGAAAATGCAAGTTACAAATTTAAGAATTGTGTTATGGTTAATAAAAAAAAAACTCATTAATCGTATTAAAGGAGTGATATGTTTGACCCACAGTTTAATCCAATAGAGTAAAGACGCTGAGATAAATGTTTTAGAAGAATGAGAGGTTCCTAATTAAAGACTTGGATACTCTAAGTTAAATATTTTTAAAATTATTCTTAAGTTGAATTTTACATTTAAAATTTATCTACCACGTCAACTAATTTAAAAAAAATTTGAAAATTGCACTGTTTTGAAATAAGAAAAATTTATCAAAATTTAAAAACTGCACCGTTTTGAATTAAGAAAAATTTATCATACTCTAACGACGTTTATTCCTCATCTTTTCCAAAAATAGATTCTCCCTCTCTTTCCTCTTTATTCCTATATTAAATAAGTGTCTATAGTCTCTATTTCTCTTTTAACCTCAAGTTCTCTCTGATTTTTCCTATTTATAGGGTTATTGCAGTAAAAGTTGCATGTCTTGCAATCACATTGTCGTCCATCTTAATTTCATGACAAGGAACATTAATTTTTATTTTTTCGATCCTGGGAATGAGCAAGAGGAGAGAGAAGGGAGATTAAAAAAAGATGAGGAGAGAGAACGACGTTAAACATCGTTAGAGTATAGTGAATTTTTCTTAATTCAAAACGGTGTAATTTTTAAACTTTGGTAAATTTTCTTTATCTAAAAAATGTGCAGTTTTTAAATTTTTTTTAAATTAGTTGACATGGTTTTACACTAGATAAATTCTAGATATCACATATCAATCTATAGCAACTTATGATAAATTAAAATATATTTAACTTGGAGGATGTAAGTCCCCTAATTAAACATTCAAAAGAAACATTAAATGCAGCACTTTTTCTAAATTGTTTGCAACTTACCGAGAGTTGACATTCAGATCTCATCTAATTTTATCGTCTTAGGGTGACTCCAAAGGAAGAGATATGTTCTAATTTTTTTTTATTTCTAATTTTTTTCATAAACAATAATAATAAAATAGAAAGCCCCTTACTCACAAAAGAAATTAAAAAAAAAATGTGTTCCTCACACATTGATCTTTATTTGGGAAATCGTTGAACCGACTAGCACATGAAAAAGAGAGCAACACGTGGCTTGTGCTTTGTGTAAAGAACAAAGTAATTACTAGTATAATACAATAAACAGGCGGTGCAAAGTTCAGAAACTTGCCCTAGACTTAACTTTGGCGGAATCTAATTAAGCACCAATTAATAGCACTAATCTTCAAAGTGCGATGAATCCTCATCTGGACAGTGCCAAACCGAGATAGAATCCGATACCATCACACACATTTCGCCACGTGTCCCCATCTATCTCCTATAAAAATACCCTGTCACCATCAATTTGTAGCCATCCAAAACAAATCTGAAACCATCTTCACTTTTCACTTTACCTTTGAAGTCTTCTTCTTTACTCGCAGTTTAATTCTCTTTCGTTGAACATCCAAAGAACAAGAAATTAAGGAGAACAATGGATCGCTTTTGGACTTTGATGTCTTTTCTTCACTCACTAGCTGGGTAATTTCAACATTACATGTTTTTCATTTTGTTCAAAATTCAATTTTCATTTTCAATTCTGTGCACTGAGTGGGTAATCTTTCTGATTTTGTTTCTCTGTTATCAATACATGCAGGCCTTTGATTATGCTACTCTACCCATTGTAAGTAAAAACACATTATATATACTTATATATTTGTGTTCTTATATATTTTCAGTTTTTTCTTTTGTTTTTCTGGGTTATTCATTGTATTGTGGGGATATATATATATAAAATTTGATTTTAGGTATGCTTCAGTGATGGCAATAGAGAGCACATCAAAAGTGGATGATGAGCAGTGGCTTGCTTATTGGATCTTATATTCATTTCTTTCTCTTATGGAGATGCTATTCCAACCCATTTTAGAATGGTAACCAAATTTTGCATAAATAAAGTTTTAACTAGTATAATAAATTAATTAACAAAGTACATTTTGGGTTTAATTTCTATGTATGAATTATATAATATAGGATACCAATATGGTATGATGTGAAGCTAGCATTGGTGGTATGGTTGGTTATGCCTCAATTCAGAGGGGCAGCTTTCATATATGAAAGGTTTGTGAGAGAGAAAATCAGGAAATATGGAAGACTAGGTGGTGGTGGTACTACTACTGGTCATCATCACAAGTCTTCTTCTCCCAATGTAAACCTCAAGAATAAGTTTGTAGACTTCATGGCCCACAAGAAAGTGAGTTATTATTAACAGTATCTCTTTGATTCTCAATAAAATCTATATGCGACTATTCTTTTATTAATTGAATAATTAATTGTGATTAATGTTGTTGCATAGGGAGAGCACGAGGATTCTTAAAGAAGAAAGGAGCTACCATTGGAAGACGCAGTTTTGAGCTGGTTTTAATTTGCTTGTTTCCATATCATTGCCTTTTGCTTTTAGTTTTGGAACTTTGGTGGTTGGGTTTGTTGTACCAATTTTCAAAAGATGCATATGGTGGTCTACATCTTTATACTTTGTACAAGCCATCCTTAAGACCAGTGTAACCTCTTATATCTTTAGGGTTCAATCACTAGTGTGAATTTGGAAATTCCAATACCGGAGTTATTGATCCATTTACTCTTCTTTTTGTTCGAGCAATTTAACCAATGACCCACCAATAGGCTATTAGCTTCCTCAGAAGTGTGGGTGAACAATTTGCAAAATGTGTGCGACTACTTATTCAAAACATAATGAGTTATTTGTCAATATTTTACATAAATTCCTTTTATATTTCATAATTTTACTTACATCTTCAAAGGTTTTGATTTATGTAGATTTTTCTGACTATTTTGCCATTTTAATGTTTGAAATGACTGCAAATATTTTTTAGGCAAAACATTTTATGGGCAAAACAATAAAAAGTCACTGGCATATGAGATAAGTGAAATTGTAAAACGTGATGGGTGTATGGGAAAATTGACAAATCTCAAAACTAATAATGGTAAGAGGCTGGATGGTAACGGAGGGGTGTATGGGAAAATTGACAAATCTATGGGGAAATTGACAAACCTCAAAACTAATATAATAAAAGGCTAAATGGTAACGGAGTAATTTGGATTGATATTATTTTTATAAATATAAACCTTCCATCAAGGTTGAAAATTAAGGAGGAGAGTAAAATATTTACATGGGCAATGAATCTTAGAGGACTTTATTTTACTTTTGTCCTAAACTATCTATACTTTAGGCCATGTTTGGGGACCTTTCAGTTTCTAAAATTTCTTTCACAGAATTGGTTTTGAATAATACATTTTGATAAAAGGAATTTGAAACAAAAAAGTTGTTTGGTGGGTAAATTTTTTAAAGCTCTTTTAACTATTAACATAAATTAACTTGACAATTATATCCTTAATAAATAATGAATAACAAAGAGTTAAATTGGAATGTATAAAGAAGGGAAGGAAAAAAAAAAAAAAATCATAATTAAAGTGGGTAAATTTTTTGAAGCTCTTTTAACTATTAACATAACTTAACTTGACAGTTATATCCTTAATAAAAAATGAATAGTAAAGAGTTGAATTGGAATGTAAAAAAAAAAAAAAAAAAAAAAAAAAAAAAAAAAAAACCCATAATTAAAGTGATAGAGTGAAATTGCCAATGGTGCAACAATGATTAATCGGTATAGTAAAGATTCGGGTATACAACTTTAACCCAACCCAATCTACATGCTAGAAGGTTGGTTGGTTTGTTTGTTTGTTTGTATTTTTTTTCTTTGACTACATTATAGAAGTTGAAAGAGATGGAAAAAGAAAATGAAAGAAAATGAAAATGAAAAAGAGAGATGACAACAAAAATATCCCATTTTTATTCTTATTTATAACTATAAATCAGTTTAATAACGGAACGGGTAGCATTCCAATATATATATATATATATATATATATATATATATATGTGGAGGGAAAAATTCCTCTCCAATAAAAGCCAGCCACGTAGCCACAACATAAGCTTTATTCCTCAATCTCTTTGTGGGTTACAAAAGCCTAACCCTGTTCAAGCCCAGATTAAATCACTAACAGCCCAAGATTGCCTTATTTGAATTTTCAGCCCGTTAATAAAAGTCAGTTGGACCAAGTTACATTCGGCCCAGATTTTTGTAGACAGAACTAGTCCTACCAAATAAATGATCCTTCATACAAAGAAGTTTTACACCAAGAGAAATCTGGCATGGAAAGGAGTATAGAAGGAAACAACATTATAGGAAAGAACATTGTATATGGAATGTATTAGAGGGCAAGCAATGCGAGTCCTATTATAATTCCAACACATTTTTGTATATAAATAGAGGCCTAGACTTCCAACAAAGATCATCGAGTAATACCCGCTTTTCTCTGAATTGTTCCTGTTGCTTATTATTTTATTTTGGGTGAGTTGTTCTATTTCTTTTTAATTCTTTTATAGAGAGAAATTTTGCACCTACACTTTGGCGCCATATGTGGGAAACGTATAGAAATATACTCCCATTATTGTTTCAAATTGTTTATATTACTACGATTTGGAATGTCAACCGGAGGATCTGTAGCAACGGCTGATCAACAGATGGAGTTGATGCAAAAGATGCGAGAAGAATTCTTGCACTAGTTCGAAACACTTCGTCAGGCGAACGAGGCCAGCGTAGCTCAGATTGCATTGCTTCAACAGCAAAATGATACCCTTCAAAAGGCGATGGCTCAGTTGGCACCACAACCACCACCAGGTGATATGGCAGCACCTCCCCCCAACCAAAATATTCCTCCAGTTAACGAGCCTCAAGCCAATGGGGCACGGCTTAATGAAGCTCGGCCTAACGAAGTTTAGCAAGAACAGAGGACAAGGACCGAGGTGGTCGCTTCGGATAATCTGCCTCATCGCACGCAGGACGAACAGGCCGAGTCCAACCATAAGTTTACGGTATGGTTTAATGGCATTTCGAATGGCGCAAGCGTACATGAGGCCTTTGACAAGAAAAGACTCTTGAGGATTCAGGTGCTCGCCGAGATGGCCAGAGAGCATAAGAACTCTCTAGTGAAGACTTCGTTCACTGATGATAAATACCTTGTTAACAGACCTAAGAAATTCACCATGCCTTTCTTTACTTAGTTCGATGGTACAGGAGATCCTTCTCGTCACCTTGACCACTATGCACAAAAAGATGGCTCTGGACGATCACAACGATCCATTCATGTGTAAGGTTTTTTTGACTAGTCTAACGGGAGCTGCATTGGAATGGTTCAGGAATAGGTCACACAAATCCATCCCAGACTACGAAACTTTGTGCACTATGTTTTTAGCACAATACTGCAGAAACAAAAAGCAGAAGAAGACCATCGCTAGTCTCTTCACCATAAGGCAAAAGAGAGGAGAAACGCTACAGGATTTCTTATCCAGATTTAACATAGAGGCCTCGAAAATAGGAGATTGTCATCCTGCGACTGCAATAGAAGCATTCAAGATCGGTATAATTTAGGGAACCAATTTCCATACCTCTCTTGTCAAATATTCCCCAATGCTAGGGCACAGATCTATATCCGACTTGAGGAGAATGTAGCCCACCGAGTACAACACGCCACCCTCGTTATAGTGGAGAATAAGCCTTGGGAAAAAGTTTCAAGTTCAAAAAGTCAAAAAAGCTAGTATGCTTCAGCACCGATCGCTTAGGTACCTGAGAAGAGGTAGAGGACAGATGAAAGGTTCACATTTCTTCGTACCACCTTGGCTCGGCTATTCCAAGAAAACAAGGTGAGATTCGCAGCCTCTCAGCTTATGAGGCAACCCTTGGAGCAAAGGGATAAGAGCAAGTACTGTGCCTACCATATGAATTATGGGCATACAACCAATGATTGCAGATCCCTTAGGCGGCAAGTGGAGAATATGATAGCCAGGGGTGAGTTGGCAGACTACCTCACACCAAAAGAGTACGTGAAGCCTCGGGAGGTCAATCCTCAGAAAGTGGAGGGTAATCAAGTAAAGGTCATTCATGCAATACATGGGAGATCAGAGGACGACCAAGAGTCAGAAGAAGTGTATCGATCCAGACTGAGTGTAGCCCACAAGCTAAGAAAATTATCCTCAGTGAATACTATCACTTCGGGCAGCATCAGTATTGGGTTCGGCGATAGGGATTTATCTAGAGTTCAACTTCCCTACGAGGATCTACTAGTCATCAGTCTTCTAGTGGCAAATTGCATGATCAAAAAGGTTTTGATGACCCAGGTAGTAGTGCCAATATTATCACAAAAGCAGTCTTTGAGCAGTTGGAGATCCCGTCATCATTAATTCGGCCTACCTCCAGTCCCTTAATGGGGTTTGATGGCACGAAGGTAGACCTTCTTGGGGTAATTGATTTATCTGTCACTGCAGCAAAAATGACATTGAAGGAAAACTTTGTTCTAACAGAAATCCATCCTTCTTACAATCTCATTATGGAAAGAGGTTGAATCCACCGAATGAACAGGGTTCCGTCTACCCTTCATCAGGTGATGTGATGCTTGTCTCCAGACGATAAGGAGGTTATTAATCTTTGGGGAGATTAGGTCGGTGCCAAAGAATGCTACATACTAACACTGAATGAAGCAAAGAAGATGATCAAGTAGTCCCAGTTAGTTGCGGCCCCAGAAAGTGTTTCCAAATAGCAATTACAGAGCCTTCTGCCCAAGCACTTGAAAGCGGAGGATGAAATTGAAGTTACAAAGCCTACCGAGGAATCCCTCGAGATTGTCGAAGTTATCCTTGGCGATCCCCAGAAAGTCACTTATATGGGTTCTTCCCCTACAGCCAAAGAGAAAGAAGCATTAGTTGATGTCATCCGAAGGAACGCAGATGTATTTGCCTGGGACCATTCTGACATGGTAGGAATCAGCCTGTCAATCTCATGCTACAGCCTGAAGGTGGATCTGGTGTTCAAACCAGTTAAGCAAAGATATAGAAGATTTGTTCCTAAGCGCAATCGAATCATTGCTTAAGAAGTAAACAAACTGCTTCAAGCAAGTTTCATCCGAGAAGTACACTATCCACAATGGCTCTCAAACGTGGTGGTAGTTCAGAAGAAGAATGGAAAATGGAGAGTGTGCATAGATTTTACCAATCTCAACAAGGCTTGCCCTAAGGACAACTTTCAATTACCTAAGATAGACCTGGTCGACGCTTCCACAGGCTATGAGAGACTCACATTCCTCGATGTGTATTCCGGGTATAATCAGATCCTAATGAATCCATAGGATGAAGAGAAAACCGCCTTCATAACAGGAAAAGGCACCTACTATTACAAAGTCATACCCTTCGGACTTAAGAATGCTGGGGTAACTTACCAACGCCTCGTTAACAAGATCTTCGACGAGATACTGGGAAAGATGATCGAAGCCTACATTGATGACATGGTGGTTAAAAGTGTAAAGAAGGAGGATTATCCCAAGCACATCCAGGAAGTTTTTTACACTTTGAGAAGGTATAATATGAAGCTAAATCCTTCCAAGTGTTCCTTTGCAGTCTTTTCATGGTAGTTTCTTGGCCACATTGTCAATAAAAGAGGAATAGAAGTAAGCCTGGCTCAGGCTCAAGCCCTTATACAAAATCAGAAATCGAAAACTCGCAGGGA